CTTGGCTTCTAGAAAGAATGACAACAACACATTCCATAATTCTACTCCTTTCTATTCCCCCCTCCCAACTACTACACTAATGAAACAGCATAATGAAATAAGAGAGATTGTGGCATGCCAAAGATTCTAAAAGGGATATAACTGCAGGCCTGACACAAAGGTCTTCTCAGACCAGTCCTCTGCCTGACTTGTCCTCTGAGTCGGAGGATGATCTCACTCCTGCAGCGTCCATCATTCAGCCGGAGGAGGCCAGGGGCCCAGATGACTTCGCCTGCAGTGGGGATGAATCTGAGGGTGGCAGGAGCATCACTCCGGATGAGGAACCCCTCTATCGGGGAGGTTTCATCTCCCCCCCCCCCTGCTGCCGCTCTTACTCGCCAGGTATGGCAGACATAATTTCTGTGGCCATTGAATGCGGTGTAGCAGCAGCTCTTAAACATAACCACTCTACCCCACGCAAGTCTGCTTCTTCCTCTGGTTCCAGACGCAGGGATGGGGATCTCTCGGCTTCGTCATCACATGAGCTCCCTGGCACTTCCAACCAGCCTTCGGTTTTTGGCAAAGAAGAACACCCGTTAAGAAAGTCAGATCTCTCAAAAGAAAAGGGGCTTCCTCCTGACCCACCTGCATTTGTCGGTTTGTTCAAACCTACTGTATTTTGTTCTCTCCTTTTTAAGGTCAAAAGAATCGCTGGCATCCCTTCTCCTAAAGCACCTCAAGGAACAGAAGCAGACAAGACAGACACTACTGATCCCCTCTTCATCCAGCCTAAGCTCGAAAAGGAAGTGATTCTGTCCCCCAGACTCTTCATAGACGTGATCCAGAACCAGTGGGCATCACCACGTACAGGTCCTCTCCCCAATACCTTGGATAAGCGCCTGTACAATGTGGGACCAGAACTCACCAAGGCCTTGGAGGTACCTTCTGTCAACTTACCTATAATTGGCCTTTCTTCCCCCAACGTAGCCTCAGCAGGTCCTGAGGAGGCTCTTCGCCCCGAGGACAAGAGAATAGAGCAAACGCTAGTCAAGAGTCACCAGGCCTTGGCTTGGGCCATTAGGGCGGGTACCTCTGCCTCCTTCTTTAGTCGCTCTGCTCTCTTATGGCTGAGGCAACTCCAGGCTAGGCTTCAGGCTAGGGATTCCAGGGCTTTCGGGGACATTAATAAAATAAAAGTGGCCCTAGAATACATAGCAGATGCTTCCTTGGACGCAGCCAGGTTTGCATCCAAGGCCACAGCATCCTCCATTTCTACCCGTCGTCTGCTTTGGCTAAAGCAGTGGCAGGCGGAAGCCTGGGCCAAGTGGAGGCTTGCCTCATCTCCCTATTCTTAATCCATTCTCTTTGGAGCCCCATTGGACCCCCTATTGGTGGAGTCCAATGATAAGTGGAAAGTCTTGCAGCCAGCCACTAAGAAACAGGAGGGCCACAGTCAATCCTTCTATTGCAGACAGCCCTTTCGGGATCAGGACAGGGGTTCCTCCAACTCCCGTCCACAGCGTCAGGCTCCTCCCTGACAGGGCCCCTCCTTTACCAACAGATCAGGCAGAAACAGCCAGAGATTCCAGCCCAGAAAGTCATTCATGGACAATACCAACCGATCCTACAAGAGGCAGAAATGACTGCCTGGAGGATCTCCCCATAGGGGGTCGGCTGTCGACCTTCGCAGATCGTTAGGATTACATCACCAATGACGCGTGGGTCAAGTCCACGATCAGATTCGGCCTTCTCTTGGATTTGCGCTCCAGCCCTCCGAACCACATTGCCCGGGGCCCATTTCCAGGGATCCTCAAAAGAGATTCCTAGTGGAGCAGGCCATCCATCACTTGCTCCTCATACAGGCCATTCAACCTGTGCCTCCAGGCCAGGTGGGACAGGGGTTCTACTTTCGTCTCTTTATCATGCCGAAGTCTTCGGGGGCCTGGAGAGCGATCCTCGATCTCAAATTCTTGAATCGGTTCATCAGGTACAGGAAGTTCAAAATGCACTCTCTCTTGTCAATTCTAGAGAGTGTGCGCAGACACAATCTCCTAACTTCAGTGGACCTCATGGAGGCTTACCTCCATGTACCCATTTACAAGCAACAGACGGTTTCTCCGATTCGTCTATGTGGGCTGTCACTTCCAGTATCGAGCCCTTCCCTTCAGGCTTTCATCAGCCCCAAGGGTCTTCACCAAGATCCTGTTAGTTGTAGCAGCTCTCCTCCATGCCAGACCCATTCGGATCTTTTGTTATCTGGACGACATCCTCCTGTTGTCCAGGTCACGCACCCAGGCCCTGCGGGATCTGTAAGACACCTTGCAGGTACTTCAGGAGGTGGGGTTCTCCATCAATCAGGAGAAAAGCCACCTGAACCCCACCTCTCATCTAGTTCACTTGGGGGCTCTCATCGACTCCGCCCAGGGGAAAGTCTTTCTGTCTCAGGAGGTACAAAGGAAGTGGCAGGCAGCTCTTCTCCAGCTGTCTCAACTGCTGGGGAAGATGGTCTCTTGCTTCTCCATCGTTCCTTGGGCGCAGCTTCACAGCCGTTGCCTTCAATGGTTTCTTCTGCCATTCCAAAAGACCAACAGCAGCTGTTCCCCCGCAACAGTCAAGTTGACTCCAGAGATCCTTCTCTCTCTGGATTGGTGGATCTCCCCGGTCATCTCTCAGGGGTCCCTTTTCAGGGAACCTCCTCGCCTTGTAGTCACGACGGATGCGAGCTTGACGGGTTGGGGCGCTCATCTGGAGGATCAGATAACTCAGAGTCTCTGGTCCCATTCCGACCTTTCCCACAGTATGAATTGGCTAGTTGCCATCCATCTAGCTCTCCTTCAGTTCCATTCTTTGGTTCGTAAAACACATGTGCTCATTCGGACAGACAACACAACAGCCAAGGCTCATGTCAACCGCCAGTGGGGGACGAGAGCTGTTTCCCTCATGGAGTCCGTCTTTCACTTAGGGATCTGGGCGGAAGTCAACCTTCTCTCTCTCCATGCCGAACACATCTCAGGCTCCAACAACTCCAGGGCGGACTAGTTGAGCCCTACAACAATCGAACCTCCAGAGTTGACCCTCAACCGTCGTATCTTCCGACAGCTGTCGACCAGGTACGGGACCCCGGTCCTACATCTCTTCGCAACGGCATCCAACAAGCAGCTGCCCAGGTACCTGTCTCGCTACACGATACCAGGCGCAGAAGGGACGGATGCCTTGAGGTGCAGGGGGCCCCGCGGTCTCCTGTAGGCCTTCCCTCCCTTCCCCCTGATACAGAGGTTCATTCAGAAAATGATAGAGGAGGAGGCTGAGCTCATTCTGCTCGCCCCCCATTGGCCACCCCGTCCATGGTTCGCAGACCGCATCAACCTCTCAGTGGGGCCAGAGTGGCGTCTTCCCCTGATACCGTCCCTTCTTCATCAGGGTTCTATCCACCACCCCGACCTATCTTGGCTCCACCTAACCGCTTGGAGGCTGAGCGGGAGGTCTTGAGGGCAGCTAACCTTTCTGAGACTGTAATCCAAACCATTCAGGCTTCCCGACGCCCAGCCACTAATAGAAACTACGAATCAACGTGGTAAACTTTCAGCACGTGCTGCCTCTCTAAAGTTGTCTCTCCCTTGGAGGCTTCGGTCCCCCAGGTTTTGGAGTTCCTACAACAGGGACTCAACAAAGGACTTATGCCTAACACCTTGCGGAGGCAGGTTTCGGCTCTGTCCTCGGTTCTCTCTCTTCACTGAAATGAGCCTCTCTCCTTGCACCCTCATGCATGGTGCTTCATTAAGGGTGCGTGTAACTTCTGCCATCCTGTCATCCACCGCTTCCCCTCATGGGATCTCACCAGGGTCTCTCACTGGACCACCCTTCGAGCCTCTCAGGTCAGCCTCCCTGCATCACCTCACATTGAAGACAACCTTCCTGGTGGCTATCACGTTGGCACGATGCATCTCAGAATTGGCAGCTCTTTCCATTCGTTCCGACCTGTGTACCTTTCACTCAGACAGTGTGGTCCTTTGGCTTGATCCCACCTTTGTCCCAAAGGTCAATTTGGCTTTTCATCGGTCCCTCACCTACCGAACTTTTGCCCTAATCCCTCTCACAGTCTCGAGCGCAAATGGCACAAGTTAGACATCAGAAGGGCTCTTAAGATCTATATTGCCAAGACGGCCGTCTTCTGACGCACTGAGGCGCTCTTCGTCTCTTTCCATCCCACAAATAAGAGTCTGAAGGCTTCGCCATCTATGGTTGGGCGTTGGATCCAGTCTACTATAACTAGGGCTTACGTGGCAGACCACCTCTCTCCTCCATCCAACATCACGATGCATTCCACACGCAGCGCGGCAACATCAGCAGCGTGGACAAGGCAGGCCTCCGTGGAAGAGATCTGCAAGGCAGCCACCTGGGCGACCCCCAATTCCTTTATCCACCATTATAAGATGGACAGATACGCATCAGCGGATGCGGCATTCGGACGGCGAGTCCTCCAACAAGTTCTCCCTTCTTCAAGCTCCTAGCCCAGTCTCATTCCCATCCAGGGACACACCCAGCTCTGGTACATCCCACGCATCACCGCTGTCTCCACCAATGTTGGAGAATGGGACGTTGGTTCTTACCTGATATGCCCCTTCTCGAGGCAAGTAGAGACAGCAGTCATCCCCACCCTTGGTTCCTGGCCTAGTGACGGTGAGCATTATGGAGCTAGGTTGATTTTTGGGAGGATTGAAAGCAGTCAACTAATGCACAACAGCCTACTTATCTCCTTTGTCACAAAAGCGGGAAGACACTCCCCTGAGGCGATGATATCACTTTGGTACACTCAGTTCTATTAGTTACTGACTGAGTTAACCCATGCATGACTGCTGGCTCCACCTGCCTCGAGAAGGGGCATATCAGGTAAGAACCAACACCCCATTTTGCTTAACAATGGAAGTCCCGAGTCCCAATTGTGGTTGTAAGTCAAGGACTGATGTCTATAGGTCGTCTAGAAAGAACAAAGCTGACACAAATATTTGGTAGATTAATTGCCTCCTAATTCCCGCTCTTCCTCATAATTCTTGATTTCATTCTTGGCCTAGATATTGACCGTTTGGCACCTCTTTATTGCATCTTCCCCAGCATTATGGGAACATCACACTCTGAAATTCATCAAGAAGATGTCCAAAGTTTGAGAGTTAGGGAGGATGGTTAATCTCTCTTAAGTAAGGTTAATGAATCAGCCTACATGTTTTATTATCTGCCCATCTGCTTTTGAGACATGGAGTTCAGTGTACCTCACACTTAGGCACAGCTCTTTTGAGCAACTTTTTTGAAAACGATTCAACTATATTTTTTATTTTGTTTTTCAAAAAATGCTTACGTTAAAAGAAATGCGGAGGTTTTTCCCCATCTTTTCAGGGAATCAGCAAAAACAACATAATTTCTGAATAAAAATATGTAATTCTTCTTCTTTTCTAGATTGCCTGTGGCTATGCACATACACTAGTGTTAACAGATGAAGGCCATATCTATGCCTGGGGAGCCAATTCTTATGGCCAGCTGGGAACTGGTAATAGGAGTAACCAGTCGTACCCTGTGCTAGTGACAGTACATCAAGACAGGTACAGTTCTGTTCATCTTGACTCTATCGGGCGAGTTTTAGGCTGTAACAATGTTTTTAGCTTTAAACATTATTAGATAAGGATCTAAGAAAAAACTCTTGTTACTGAATTCTTTGTCTTTCTGATTCTAAGACAGCTACAATCACATAAAAGAACTTCTAGAAGACAAAAATAGCCATTAGGTGTTAAGTTATATTTTCTGATAATTTTCTATGCTTCCCAACTGCTTTGCAGAACCAATTACTAATTCTTGTGAATTAGTAATTATTTATATACAAGGTTATATTCTCTGCTTTTATCCCACAGATATGATTCCAAAACAAAGCTATCTCAATTTGTTAATAAAAAAGATTAAGATAAAAATAGGCAATACAAATTGTAGTAAATAAAATACAAATAGTCCTTGATTTACAACCACAATTGAGAATATAATTTATGTTGCTAAGTGAGAAATTTGTTAAGTGAGTTTTGTCCCATTTTATGACTCTTCTTGCCACATTTGTTAAGTGAATCACTGCAGTTGTTAAATTACTAAGATGGTTGTTAAGTGAATCTGATTTCCCCATTGTTTTTACTTGGCATGTTTATTTTGTCATGTTTATTTACTGTATATTGGAAATGACCCTTTGAGAGCTACATGCAACAAAATGTCATTTTAATATATGCCAATTCGTGTACATTTAAAGTGACAATAAAGTTGTTCTAAGTTCTCTATAAGTTCTAAAATAAGAGTTAGTTGGTTAGGCATAAAGCAAAGGCATTTTCTGAAGTTGAAAAAAAAAATCTCTAAGCATATTGACCAAAAACATTTTTTCTTTGTTTTAATATCTTATAATATTGACAGTTAACAAATTTTTTTTCCGCTTGGTATTTTGCCTTGAATGAGATCATATAGGTAGTCCCTGACCTATGACCACAATTGGGATTGAAACTTCTATTGCTAAGTAATATGGTCATTATGTGAGTTGTACCCCAATTTTACAACCTTTCTTGCTATGGTCATCAAGTAAATCCAGCTTGCTCATTTATTTTACTTGTCAAAAGCACCCTAGGAAGGTCAGTTGGTGATCACAGGATACTGAGATGTTGCAACCATTATAACTACATGCCAGTTGCCATGTACACAACTGGCCTACGAGGGACACTATCATGGTCATAAGTACAACAACTGGTTGTTGGTCATGTTTTTCAGCTCTGTCTTTACTTTGAACAATCATGAACTGTTGTAAGTCCTGGACTGCCTGTAATGTCTTCCAATAAAAGTCATTCTTGCTAATCAGTGGTAATTGGAAGTGGAATTTCTGTCACTAAAGCAAGGCAGTTGTAAAGAATGACCTCACATGGCTATTCTGCTTAGTGATGATTACCATTATAAAGGAAATCATTATGGATTTCCGTAAGCAAGGACCTCACATGACAATTACTTCTGACTTCCTGCAGGTTTCACCATTGGCTTTGCTTGTGGGAAGCCAGTAGGGAAGGTTGTTAATTGGAGGGAGCTGTGATGGCCAGAACTTTGAGGACCGCTCATAACAGATAGTACTCAAATTATGTTCATAATAAGGTCTTGAATTTTGGTTGCTAAGTGATAACAATTGCCAAATGAGTCACAAGGTCATTAAATGAATTTAGTTTCCCCAATTAACTTACTCTGTCAGAAGATGGCTAGCAAGGTTGCAGATTGCAACCATGTGAAAAACACTGGAGCCATCATAAATGTAAGCTGTTTGCAAGTGCCTGAATTGCAACCATTTGACCATGGGGATGGTACTACTTTGGTCGTAACTTTGAGCATGGGTGAGAAGTCCCCTTTTTCAAGGCTGTAATAACTTTAAACTTCCATTAAATGAATAAATCAAGGGCTACCTGTTCTACTAATTCAGCACCATTGTAAGTTCAAATGTTTGCTGACCAAGTGATCATTAATCTACAAAAAATTGTACATGTAGAATGCTTATGCATTGGAGAGATACGTTTAAACATATGCAGTATCTTATATATATACATGTAGAATGCTTATGCATTGGAGAGATACGTTTAAACATATGCAGTATCTTATATATATACATGTAGAATGCTTATGCATTGGAGAGATACGTTTAAACATATGCAGTATCTTATATATATACATGTAGAATGCTTATGCATTGGAGAGATACGTTTAAACATA